TTAGTAGTTATTCTATGAGGGGAAAAGATCAACTTTTCAATGTTTAGTAGTTACTCTGTCAATGACAGACTACAATGGGGTTTAGCCTTGAAATGAAAATTCCACGGCTGAATGGGAAAAAGAGACTAGTCACCTTTCATGGATTGTGTAACCTTGTCAGGGTGTAAAATGTCAACATTTAACATCTATGTTTTCTAAGATACACTGTAGGAAACTCTTGTTGCTAAAATTTGTCAGCATTGGCTAGTTTCACAGGGCATTATGTGGAAAATGTCGACAAATGGATTCATTTTTTTAATTACGATTCAGTAGTTGTCTGAGCTACATGTATTTTTGGATGTAAAAGTACGTTGGAATTTTTGGGTCGACTGTGAATAACAGGGAGTGGTTTTTGAAAGGCAATTTTCTTTGTGTAATGCACACCACTGTGTGTTTTCAATAAATGGGTTATTATTCATCAGATAATATGATATGCGTGCAAAAGGTTGAGTAAATCAACTTTCAAGATACAGACGACATCTTTGGGCCAAATGCCTAAAGATATACTGCATTACAAGTTGCCTCTGTGGTTGAAAATTTTTCGTTAATTCATGTTACAATACAATTTTGATTTTGTTGGGGTTTTGGTTTAAATGAGAAAATCTCTTTAAATGGTTGGACTCTTGTAAAAGGATGTTTCGAGAAGGGGAATTCACTGTACACAAACATTGGTTTGTAATTTCCATGTTTTATTTTCAGAACTTAATGTAGGTGACACATAACTTTTTTAAGTGTGCAAACTTTCAAATAAAATTTGCAATTTCAGACACCCAAGGTCAAAAACAGATATTACACAAGTAGAAATCAGCATTTCAAATAATGGCACTGCCATTTCTTGTAGATTGAGTGAGGCCTTCCACACATCTTTTCAGTTTTACTACTTGGAGTTCTCTAGCCTGGGCCAAGGCTTTCATTTCATTGCCTACCATCATTGCTGGCAGGTCATAATTCATAGTACACTATACTGGTAAAAATTATAAGGGCGCGAGGATGTGGCTCCATGATTTAGGTTCAGCAGCAGATGGTACATGTACATGTATGTGGTTACCAGTATGGCTGTGTTATGTACATGTAGATCACGTTTACATCTTTACACATGGATTCACACGTGTACATTATGTACATTTTATTGGAACTGAAGATGCACTGTACACAGAACAGTTACAGTTGTGCATGGTAACTTTTGTCTGTGCTTTATTTCCTTGTCACTCTACTTTTGGTGCTTGACATTTGACCATTTCCTTTTAATTTTTTGGAAACTGGAAGGTTGTGTTCAGACACAAAAGTCATATAGTTTCAAAACATTTGAAGACTGATGTTCTCAGCATGAAACTTGTTTATAAATTCTATGAAGTCAGTTTCCTTATTTTGCATTTGTTTTCAGTGTCTATGAAAACTAGAAAGCAATGTTTTTTGTTTATTGTGTTTGTTTTGTTTTGCTCAGAAACGTCCCCAATCAATGGCCAATTGCATTTTTGAGGTGTAGTGTTACTTTACCAGATTTTCACTGACATTATGTTGTCTTTGTCATTTTAACCATGTGTGATATTTCAAGCATTCAGTGACAGGACCTCAATCAACAGGCTGTTTGAACACAAGTGTAACCATTTGGAAATTCATACTTGGACAAAATCTGCATCTCTACACTAGAATGATAAAAATTGGAAGAAAAGTAAAATGAGGCAAACATATACAGTATGTCTTGCATATGTACTAGATATTTTCAGAAATTTTTTTTGAAAAATAATGTTCTTATTCTTTCAAAGCCCTTGTAAACTTTCTTTGCCATCAAAAAAACCACCTCTTGAAAAAGTAGAATTGAATAGACTACATGTACATGTACCTATACGAAAGGGCTCCATGCAACATCTTGACAACCTGTAATTCTAATTTGTTTGCACTCTTTCATAAATTTTTATTGAGCTAATTGCATTACTCCTGGGATTACAATTTTGCAGGTAAGAAGTTGATTGGACGGAGTCAAACAAGAGAAGTTGCTTCCAAGAGATTGGGTCAACTGAATGAATACTGCCAAGTAAGTAGCAGCCGTACAAACACAATCACTCATCACTGAGCAGTTTGTCAATGAAAAGCAAAATGCATGTCTGAGAAATCAAAGGATCATCCAATCTCATCTTTTACGTAAAAGAGGTCGTAATTCTTTTGATGCAGCTGTTGGTGAGACTACCTCCCAAGATATCAGAGTGTGATGAAGTCTTGCAGTTCTTTACTCCAAATGCTGAAGACATTAACCCAACCAGAGAGAAGTAAGATTAATTTGCCTATTTCAGTCTTGTAATAGAGGTCAAATGTGATCAAGCTTGCCCATCAATTTTTGAAAATGTAGTGGGAACAGTAGCCCAAGTACATGTATGCTTGTAGTAAACATTGCCGTAGTCGGGCTTTAATACTGGCATTATAAGAAAGTAAAAGAGTTCAACAAACTTCACGGGACAGCTTGTATGACCTTGATGTGGCAATTCAAAGTCTCTGATGGCTGACTTTATTTGACATCTTACATATAGCTGTTCCACTGTACATGTAGCTCTTTGTGGTTGCGCCAATCGCACCGCTGTGTTTGATGAGGTCTGCATGTTGACGTGATGCATTGCTATGCACTCATCATCAACCTGGTACTCTTCCCCTATAATCCCCTGTAATTGTGGCCACAAAAGCCTTAGGCTGCTTCATATGTGGGCTTAAGAAAGCTGTAATGCAGGAAATAATATGGAGCAGAAGGAAGTGTACAGGCGTGCAGGTATTCAAATGTAAACAGTTGCATTTGGCAGCATCATTTTTCTCCATTTTCAGATGAGATCAGCATTTTTGTTTGCACGGAACTAGTAATGTTTACCAGTTATTAATGGGATGTTAGAACAACGAGTTGTCACAGATTATTTCATACTGTGAGTCTGGAATGTCTGAATATTCGGGAGAAAATTCCTGCCAGGTTTCTACTGTAGCACTTTTGAAGTTCAGGGCTTTTCCCAAGAATTTAGATAGTTCAAACTTAATTATTTAGATCGGTATAACTGAAATAATAAATACACTACATGGATCATCATACTTTGGCAGAAGTAGATCTAGAGGGTAGGAGGTACAACCATTGCTTCCCCCTTCCTGCTTCTGATTTTTGTTTCGTAGATTGTTTTCTTTCCCTCTTGCTCTCAATACGTTACTTGCATTTCATAACTATAAAGGCACAAATTATCAGTAAATATGTCTCATTCATCACAAGGGTTTCATCTCCATTTGGACTGGGAGCAGGTCCCCTCCCATTCATACTGGGCACTCCATTTTGTGTAAAGGCTGGATCTCCTACTAGTCTGTCTGGTATTTAGTGAGGGAAAATGACGTCATGGTGATGGGGACATAAGTACATGTACGTGTATATGGGCAAGATCTTCATAAAATGGACCAAAATGTAACTCTGGATGTCATTTTTCAAAACTTCTAAAAGAGTAACTTGGATCATGTAAAATACAAATTAGCACCTTCGGATTTATACAAATGATTATTTGGGGATAATTAGGCATACTGTGTACATTTGGTTGGCTACCAGTGCAAATCAAATGGAGTTGAATTCATTTAAAGGTTTACGTAGAAGTGTTTACACCAGAGGACTTGATTTCAAAACTTCTCTCAACAAGAAGGAGAATTCAGTATATTTTTCAACTGATGTATTTTAAAGTACCTAAGAAATAACTTTAGAAAAATATAAGCCACAAAAAGAGCACAAAATTGACAGACAATGATGAGAAAAGATTGGCTCTCTTCATTCTCTTATCGTTTATAATCACTTTCACTATACCAACATATCGGCCAGGTAGTAGTTTTTCTCCAACATACCAATGTACACATGGAATGATGATTGAAGTAGAAAATAATGGAATATATTTGTTTGGTTTCCTTCTCAGGAATGTGAAAAAGAAAGGTGGAAAAGGTGAGCCCAAAAGAGGAACTATGTATGTCTTTAAAATGGTGCAAGGAAATACAGTCCACTTTTAACATAAAATGCTAAATGGTAGTATTTGGACTTAAATAGATGACATTCTTGGCTTTGTAATGCACTTTATTTCATCTCATTTGTTTTTGGCAATCCAGAAGTGCATGTATGCCCCTGTAAACACAACTGCTGTGAATTGAGTTGGTGCCATCTAGTCTGATCCCAAGACCTAATATAAAATGCAACATTTTTGGGGTAAAATTCCAGTACCCGCCATCTTGTTTTGCAGAAATTGACGTCATCTCAGATCCTATCCAACCCGAGGCCTACATTGTGATTGCCGACTACAAGAAGCAACAGAAGAATGAAGTGGACCTGCATGCTGGTGATCATGTTGATGTCTTTGAGAAAAATGATAACGGTTTGTATATACCACCATGTTGTATGCATGCTGCCATATCTTTGCCTGCTAAAGTTACATGTAGTTCTCACATCAACTTAAACAGATGCAGACAGCAACAGTTCTGCTAATATGCTGCCATACAGAAATACTTATATGTGATTGACACCAGTATGGATGCAGACAGTTGGCAGATAGTCGGATCATGGTCAAGTTTGCTAACTGTCTGAATCAAATCATCAGAGTAAGCCCAAACAAATGCACTGGTGGGACAGGCATACAGTGGTGTTTTCTCTCACTTGCTGAATACCACACATTTGCACCCATTTCAGACAGGCATTCTAGGGTCATGCCGAACCAAATAGACTCAAGAGCGACTTGGTTCGACCCAATTAAATTTTGGTTTCAAACTGATGACCTTAATGCATTAGGTTCGGCCCATGAAAAGAGCAACGTCTGAAACAAAGTTGCTCTTGTGTTGTTCCAAGCACCATCAAGTGTCGATCTTTTGCCTTCTAGCATGCCTTGTCACCCCTAATTGTTTTAGATGTCAAACTTTTGCTGGACTTAATTCAAAATTTGCTTTTAATTTGGTTTGGTCCGACTCTAGAATTCCTGTCTGAAACAGGTGTCAGCTCATTTTCCTGGGATAACTTGGAAATGAAACCCTACTAGTCATCAAAATAGCTGACCTGAAATGAATTGAAATATCAAGTTAGCTTCAAGATATGTTAAAACCATCTAAAACGGTGTTTTGTAAAGAAAAAATTCATTTTCAGATGCCAAATGTTGTTTCCACTTTTTTTGCATGACTTTACACACCAACTCCTCTGAGAATGTTTGCATCTTGATATTTTGCTCCATTTCAGCGATCTTTGTGACCATGTGGAAAAGGGGCTTTACATGTACATGTATGTGTGCAACAGTTGCCGATTGTTAGGATGCTGGACATTGACCTTATACCCAGAGGATAAATGGTATATGACCAAAATATGGTGCATTCATGTTTGATACTACAGAACTACACAAGTGATTTCCTTTAGTATCCAGTGCAATAACCATATCCCTTTGTGTGCACTATTTATGCTGCATACTGTGGGCTGTGGCTTTACAGATATTGCTTGAACAATGGTCACACACACACTGCAGAGCTTTATTCACACAGTTTCCAACAAGGCCTCAGTTTCCTCATAACAGGGCCTTGCAAAGCCATACATCCTCTGAACAGTTCATAACTGGACTGACATTATGTTAAGCACTTTCACAACTTCTTAAGTGGCAGGTTTCAAGCGGCACAGCATGACAGATCAGAGGCAGTGATTAATCATAACTTTTGAGACTCCACATATTCCTGCCTTTGATTTTAGTTCTGTAGCTGATGAATGGGTACTTCATTCATATTCACATGCAGTAAGGCATGTGAATAAAGCCATGAGCTGAGCCATCAGGTACAGACAAAGAGTGGTACTAGCCAGGAATAAGTGGAGTCTTAACATTGTAATTAATGGCTTGCAGTCTAAACGTATGTAAAGTTTCAACCACGATTGTAGAGGGAATAAGCATTTAGGACGTATATGTATTTTGTACAGGATGGTGGTTTGTGGGTGCCAGTGACAGTCAGGGCTGGGCACCTGGGACGTTCCTCAGCCGAGCTGATGGATCAGAAGATGAGGATGGCATTGCTGGGAAAGGTGTGTTGGCACATTTGGGTGGTGGAGGACTGGGGGCAACACCCATTAGCAGCAAACTGACAAACTGTCAGTGGTGCAAGAGGGTCAATTCCACGTTGTTCTCAAACAAATTGGTGATTCTAATTCCCAATCCCTCCTTTTTTGGTTTTTTCCATTTTTTTGTCTTCCCCTTTTTATTTGTAACTTTTTTTTCTGAGGGTAAGTGACCCCCCTTGGCCCAAGCTGCCCAGATGGCCGTGGTTGGCACATTGTTTTCTCAAGACCTGATAACCTGGTGCTCTAAACATAAGTGAGCGCTAGGTTGTTATTGTGAGGATCAGAGAACAAATGTTGCTAATTGAAGAGAAACTGCCATGGAAATTACTGTCCAAGATGTTAGTCAAAACGAGTCAGTAGTGTAGTTGAAAAGAAGTGCTTCCTTACTTTCTCTGGACTCCATGTACATAGAAACAAACCAGTGCCTACCCAAGTTAGTAATATCAACTTGATGGACATGTAGGGACTTCAGAGCATGTAAACTTGCTGTTTCAAAGATGGAGTTTCGCCGGGGAGATGTAAATTAATTTTGGATTTTTGCCCTCCATGACGTGTATTTTAACACTGTATGCTCAATGTATGCCCCCAAGGGCTTGTGAAAACACCACAAGGGTACTCTCAAATCTATCTTGAAATAGTTACCCACTGCTACATCTGATTTGAACCAGCCAGCTGACACCGGCAAGCTCGGCAGTCGAGTGGTTAAGACGTCTTGCACTAGCAAGCAGGAGGTTGTGGGTTTGAGCCCCACCCGAGTACGATTGTGGTTTTATCACAAGCCCTTGGGGGTACACTGAGCATAATACACGTTGGACAGGGCCAAAAAAAAAAATCCAAAATTAATTTATGTAAAATTGCATTGGCTGCATCTTCTGACTGCCAGACCCAGCATGCAATGCCTATCCACCCCGAGCATAAAGTGCACCCCCAAGCGGCAAAAGAAAGACTGATGGTTGTAAGTTTTCTAAGCAGGTTCTTACATGAGTTCTGCGTGTACGCAAAGACCACATATTAGGGAATAAATTCACTATGCGTACTCAGTGTGCTCTGCGTCAAATGCAGTCACCCAGTGTAAAAAGGACACACTGGCCATTTTCTGGTACCCTAGCCTTTGAGAAAGCTATGGTCGAACAAACAATTTGTGATCCATTCTGAAAGAAAGGCATGTACTGGAAGTTTAATGCTAGTCTTGTGAAAGAGATTACCGTCTGATGCATGTATAGTGCATCATTGGAATTTCTCTCCTGTTTGTTTATAAAATTTGTGAAGTTTGGCATAGAAATCAAGCCACACCCAGCTGCAAGAGGATTTTGCTGCATGGTTAATATACAATAAAATGATGGTGTGTTTTACAGTGGAGGAACATTACATTACCAACAATTCCTACAAGGCCCAGCAGCATGATGAGATCAGTTTTGAGACGGGTGCGGTGCTGATGGTAATACAGAAGAGTCTGGATGGATGGTGGATGGTCAGGTTAGTGGTAGACCTGCCCGTACTGCCATTCCCACTGGTAACACACACATAATGAGCGTTTATGAGTGCAGTTTTGAAAATAGTTTCATAAGGTGATGGAATGTTCTATTCCGCAAAGCAAAGCCGAGTGGAATAGAACATTATTAGATGCCATAACTGCTATGACACCACACTCACATGCTCATTCTTTAGCTAAGCGGGTGTGCACTTGATAAGTCATGGCATTCTATTGGTCAGAGAGGCATGTAACATGTGCGTACCACGTGTCCTTGAGCTTTGTGCTACTGTGAATGGTACACAATAAAATTCTCTTTGTGTATTAAAGCATGACATGAAGTTTTCATGTGCTAAGCCATGACTGAAATTTTATCTGTCTTTTTGCACAAGCGTGGATTACATAGTGTGGACCTCCAAACAAAAAATGGTCCTTACGATTGGGAGACGTGTGATCTTACACATGTCCAAGCAGTGCTTTTCCCTCCCTGAAGCTTCAGAGGCATGTTAATGATGGGGTTATTGGCTGAAAAATGAAGAGTGACAGTCCAGAAAATATCATTAAAATATCCAGCTTGAGAGAGTTGGCATAGTGGGAGAAAAGGGAGGTTTCCCTGAGTTTCTTAACCTCAGGAGAACACGAGAATGTCCACATAATATATGTGACGGTGTGCAGAACAGTGACTGTGTGTCCATACATAAGTAATTCAGCAGTATATTCAAAGGAGTATATTCAAGAGTCACATTGCTGCGCATACTGACTAAGTCAAGGACTCACCATCGATAACCCACCAATCAGATAATGGAGATTTATTAAGGTTTTCTGTAATGGCTCATGAATTGTTTGGAGAGACTGTTAGGAACATCAGCAGCCATTTTCCTACTGGAGGGACACAACTCAGTGCACGTACATATACGTATTTGTATGCATTGGTAATTCCAGAAATTAGGGGTCCAAAAATGTGGCAGTTTGTGCCCCTGTTACATCTGACCTTTGTTATTTGACATGGATATATCACCAGAATTGATTTCAAACTATTACTATTTGTTTGACAGGTACCGGTAATTTGTATTAATTCATCAGCCTTGGAAATTGGAAAATGTGTTCTAAACTTACAAAATCATATGTCAGATGTGGCCATGGTGACAGGGACACACACAAAAAATGAACCCTTATTTTCTGGAATTACCCATACACACTAGGATGTATCACATTCATGTGTATCTGGCTAGATGGACCTTATTGATGAGTCAGCCAATGTGAAATTCAAAGCAAGTTTGACTCTTCATTTTTGGACCTTTGGAGCATCATTGAAAGAATAAAATGAAACTTGCTGGCAAATTATTGCCAGTCTGCTCTTAGGCAGTCAGGAATAATTCATATTTGTAGTAAAACACTCGAGTGTTTTATATAATATTTGGAAAAAAATTGAAAGGGAGGCTTGAAACGTACACAAATCCAAAAATAGTCTGATACCATTCCATTTAACAGCTAACAACTTTAAAGCCCATTCAAGGAACACGATTAAATATGGCTTTCACAGGAATGAGATCTATTGAAGAGGCCAAACACAGACCCAAAACATAGATATAAACCAAATCAGACCTGAAACTGGACTGAGCTCCCCATATCCATCCCAACCTGACAAAAATTAAGGTAAATTGACCCAAACTGACCAAAAACAAAGCAAGTCTTGTTCATAAAAAGACTTGAATATTTGACTCTAATTACATGGAGTTGTCCTTTTGTTGTTCAATGTTTTGCCAGAACTTACGTCTGCATTGCCTGAATTACGTGTATTTAGAAAAACTTATGAGTGTGCAAAACTGTTGTAATGCTTCTCTTTTACAATCCCAGTTAGAGTGTTGGAGTGTAGAAATTAAATGGGAGAAAATCATGTATTTGGGTCATACTCAGCACTAATAATAGGCACAGTAATGGCCCATGTTGATGTCTGAACTACTTTTTTGGGGGGGGCTAGAAATTTTTTTTTTTGGGGGGGGGAGATTTTATCAAGATGGTTCAAATGAATTGACCCAACCCAACTTAAATGGTGGAGGAACCAACCAAATCCGGTTTTGGGTCTGGTCGGCACATGAAGTTTTAATCAGAGGTGCTGTGTCTACAGTTCATTTGTGGTAGTCAGTCACAAACATACGTGTGTTGGTACATATATACTTGTGTTGGTACATATCTGTGTGTTGGTACATATACGCATGTTTGTACATATACTTGTGTTGGTACATACAGTGTATCCATGTGTTGGTACATATATGTGTGTTGGTACATAAACGTGTGTTTGTACATATATGTGTGTTGGTACATGTACGAGTGTTGGTACATATCTGTGTGTCGGTACAAATATGTGTGTTGGTACATATCCGTGTGTTGCTGTGATCTGAAACTTTTTCCCTCTTAAGTGAAAACAGAATCTGTGTCTTCTCTGTGCAACGTTATACTTGTTTGGGTTAAGTGGTTAAGTTATGTAATGCCTTTGACAGATTGAATGCTCCATCTCATAGTGGTTTACCCTATAGGATAGAACATTGAATCTGATGCATCATATCATCATGATGAATCATAAACATTCTTTATATGTATAACATTGCTCCGGCTGTGTACTTGTCTTGGACTTGTGGAGTATTGGTCAGCTAATGTAATTATACTCTCATCCCCCCAAATCCATACAATATTACACCGAAATTGGGAATTTTCTACCCTTTTTGCAATCTGATCCAGATACCAGGAGAAGGTGGGCTGGGTACCAGCTGCTTTTCTTCAAGTCTATACTGGTCCGGTGGATGTTGTGGTTAGCACTCCAACCCAACGTGTTGGTAACGTCATGAATGTATCAGACATTGTCAAG